TACGGAAAGCCGGTCACTTCCCCCGTTTACTTGCAGAAAAATCTCCTCTTCTGAAGGACACCAGGTGAGTTTAGGAGAACAAAAGCCCCGCCTAGCAATGGTGCCTTTGTGATAAACCAGGGGAACTGGAGACTGCGGCACGGGCTGCGAGGTTCAAACCTGATAGAGGAGCCAGCTCCCACGTGGAGCCGGGGGAGGGAGACCGGGACATGGATTAAGGAGCTAAATTCACTGATGAAACCTGCCCTGAGCGCCAGCTTTGAGGTTGACCTGTCACCCTAGTGCATGTATTTGAACTAAATCCATAGCATGAATCTGTACTGAGGTCACACGGGCAGAGGTGCGGACGGCAATAGAAATATTTCAGGTTTCCATGCAGCGGTGGGTGACAGCTATTGAATCAGACAACCGAGCCTCCCGCTTAACCACCTTGCTGTGAGCACGGGGAGCCACGTCTGCCGCCTCCAGGGGCTCGGCTCTTTGCGTGTATTGGTACAGAGCAAGAGGCAATGGATTCCCAGCTAAATACTAGTAGAAAGACTAGTCACAGGGCAGTTAGAGGGGTGTAAAGACGCCTGGGCCTGGCACTGCCTTTACGCAAACCCTCCATCGGCAGCGGCCCGGTTCCTTCGGAAGGTTTTGCTCATCTTCGTAATCCACAGATCTGGAGACATCAGAACAAGCAGTCCAGCCAGCGCTCGAAATGAGGATCCTTGACAACATGCTGCAGTTCACCATTTGTGCTCTCACAGCTCAGTGCTACCTGAAGGACCAGCACCTAAGGCAGGACAGCAGCATCACTGCACAATGCAGAGCTCGAAGGCTTCCAGCGAGAGACAAATATCCTGATATTTAAGCTGCATTTTTACCTTGAAAAGCAATTTGCAAACCCACAGCGCGATTCTGACGAGCCTCACTGAAACCACAGGTACCGAGTCTGCAAGAAAGACGCTTTTACCCACGTGCCAGCCCGGGGATTCAGGTCAGGTGAATCTCCTTGCACTTTATCATCGCTTAAAAATGTTCTACAAGACAAACCGTGTCTCACGTATACTTGCAGGAACTCTTAGGGCTTTCAGAGCATGCAGGCAGCGGTACGTATGAAACCTGATGAGCCTTCGGTGGGTTTAAGCTGGGAACGTTAATTTGTGGTCCAAGAACTTGCGGAAGCACAGCCTGGTACCCAGAGCCCGAGTGCTGTAGGTATGACGAGGGGTGCTGTACCGCTGCGGAGGGCTTCCTCTCTGCTCAGTAAAATTTAAGGCTATTGGGAGAGACCACAGAGAAAAGGCAAGCACCGTAAGTCGTCGTTAAGCCCTTCTCCAAAAGCTTGGGCAGGAACGATTCTGGCTTTGAAAGAGGGGACCGTACCTAGCACTTCCCGCTCTTTTTATATTTTATGGGTTAATATTTTGATGTGGATTGCTTTCGGTGGTGCGTAGCTCCCAATTAACCCAGGGACTAATACAAAAAATGTATTTGTTTCCAAGTAGACATTAAAAACTTCGTAAGAAGGTAACAAATATACAAGAAAGGGAAGAGAACTAAAAGGCTTTGGTTAGAAAATTAAAGTTGTTTGCCATGGCTTGATGGCTTAATCAGTCGATCAATATTGTTCACAGGGCAGGCAGGGAGGGAGCCATGAGCTGTGATGAAAAATGCATGAGGGGACAAGGGAGACCTGGGAGTAGAAAATTAAAAAGTCAGCCTGTTACATTTGTCCAATATCGGCAGAGAAATTAAAGTGGTTTGGGGAGGGGTGCTGGGAGGGAAGAGGGGAGCCGGCTGCAATATGCACTGCATATCTGCTGCGGGTTCCCTTCACGAGAGAAACTTTCACATTAATTAAGTTGCTTTCTTAGCGTAAAGATGGATTTTGTAACCTTTAGCACTTGCAAGTGCCACAAGCACAGTAGGTGGGGTTTGCACACAAGAAAATAAAATGGAATTTCTTCACATCAGGGATGCAACAGAAGACCACGTGTCCTGATTAGGGTAAGGGATACCGAGATGATACCAACCAGGGTGAGGCAACGCGCTTTTCCTGCAGTATTAGGCGAGATTAATGTATCATTGCGCTATAAACAACAATGCTGGAACGATGCAGCTCTAAGACATACAACCTGAGCCACTAAAAGCAGCACTGTTGTTTCTGCACGCAGATTAGTTTTCTTTACTCTCTCTTAAATTTGGCCGCTACTGATTCTGCAGAGGCGCTTGCCTTGCAGAAACCAGTATCAGGAGCAATGCAGTTCTAGAAGATGCTCTAGAAGAGGTGAGAGCCAACCGCTCTTCAGGGATCATGGTCCTTGCTGTTTGCCTTAAAGACCTGAGCTGTTTTAAAAGCTGCAACAAACTCCAATGATAAAAAAAACCAAGGTCGCTCATCCTGCAACTAAACTGCTTTTTGTCACCCATCCCTTTTAACTACGGGTAGAAAAGAAAAATAATAATGTCCAGTAACCGAGCTACCAAAATGCTGTATTGTGAGAATGGCTTTTTAGTTAGAAGCGATCTCCCGGTTTCTGTTCCTCACATTCAAAACTCGGAGCGAGCTTCTGCTTGGCTCGGAAATCCACATCTCGGTGATAATCAGGCACCGGCCTCCCAGCATCCACACTTCCAGGACAACAAGCAGAGACGAGCACACACTGTATCCAAACTGCTGAAATTCATGAGCTTTAGAAGAATTTAGACAGATGAATTCCACTCCCCAAAATGGAAATATTCCAACCTGTTGCACTTGGCTTGCAGGGATAGAAATCACTGTTTCTCCCAGGGCCTCTACAGGGGAGAAGTTTCCCTCCTACTGCAGTTTTCTGGGGGAAGGAACGTGCCAAACAGGTTTGTGTTGCACTTCTGTAAGACAATTATTTTTGTACTGAGGTACCTACAGTGAATTTTATGACTCTCCATCAGGCTCGCCAATTACAGGTTTAAAATTTCAGGCTCAATTAACACACAGACTGGCTGATGCTGTTTTCTGCAACTAATTATCTCCAAGTGCCAAGACATGATTCCACATATTATACTTTTGTGAACTTCAGGATTTGCTTTCTACGCCATTATTTAAGTATAAACAGAATGGAGCAGACAGCAGCGCCTAAAGCAGGTTGGATACCATATTATGACCTTTTTATTAATAAAAAAAAAGTGCTTACACTATCAGAAACCCAGGCCTTCTAATTAGTACAGTAACGGGACAGATAGCAGGGCTGCTTATTTACAAGGCGCTCTCTCATCTAAGATGCACACGTTGTTCTGTCTTGGGTGATCTTTGTACCGAGAAGGCTGCTTGGGTCAAATAATAGCACAACAAGTTTTCATTAGGTAATTCAACTGCAGCTGGATTTGAAACGGCCATTATCCCACTGCTATGGCCATGTTCCCGTCTGGTGACTGGGGGGGGGGGGGGGAGGCGGGGTGTAAAATTCCCCTTCCTAAACCTTC